GGACCGACGAGATACATTTCTTTCAGTTACACCAGACGAAAGTGACGAGCATGTCGCGCACGGCTGCTACTGATGGAATGAGGTCGAATACGCGAGGCGCGCGAGTTGATACAAAAGGGTAAAAAGTGTCGTCGCTCACGAGCCGATCAACACAATCGGCGCGATGTAAACATTGCGAGCCTCGGCGGCGGTTGAAGCAAGAGAGACTTGCCCTTGGGCGTCTCTTCTTTTCTCGAAGGTTCCGAAACGACGAGGGGAATGCGAGAAGGCCTTTCAACTGTACGCGACATTGATTTACTATTTATTGATTGCTGAAAATAAAGAAAATTACTCTGTCGAAGCATCGGATATTTGTTAGCTTTATGTTAATTAAGGAGGAATATGTACGATCAGAAAATGTGTTAGCAACTAATTGTACAGACCCATACAGCACCGCAAGATTGCAGCGACATTGCAGAAATATTACATTGTGACATTGCAATATTGCAGCAATGTTGTGTAATGTCGCTGCAACGTTGCAGAAAGATTGCAGCAACGTTGAAATGTCCGCCCTCAGAGAGTTTGCAGTGCAACATTATAGCAATGTTGCTGTGCAATATATTTGCAATAATGCAGCGTCATTGCACATAAGCACTGAGCAAACACTAAATAACAATAACATGCCATTAATGTTATAAATTTTCACCCAACAATGTAATAGTTATATAATACACGCGTTATATTATTTTTACCCTTGGGAAAAATTACTTTAAGATGTTTAAATTAACTTAAAGTTACTTACAGTTACCTAAAATTATTTATAGTTAACTATAAATTACTTACAATTAACTATAAGTAACTTTAAGTTAATTTGGAAATTTTAAGTTATTTTTCCTAAGGGTACATTGTTAAGTGAACAATTATAACATAGATGATAGATATTTCTTTCTCCATAGGGACATGGTCTAAAATACTTCGAAGTGCCGTATAGACAATCATAATTGTTCTTTTCGCGCTCCAAAGCGTTTGTAGTTTCATGAATCCTATTTAACCCCTTGCCTTACAATTTAAGTTCTGATGGCGCATGCCATAACCAACAAGGTCGGTCACACGTCGAGCCATTTCACGGTTTGACTGAGCGTTCGAAGTTGTGCAAATCGCATACGTCTTTTGATATGTAATTACATGTGTAAGGTACAACTAATTTTATTTTGCAAGATATTTGATAAATAATTACGACCAATTGATCATTGAACAAGAAAGATTTATTATCTTGAAGTGAATAATAAATCAATAACATTTTTATTTCAATTTCTAGATAAACACATTATAAATTATTAACGTCTTGATAAAATTTACAAAAATTTAATAATCTTGAATCGTATGGTATCTTTCAAAGCATATTGGTACATATAATGCAACCTTATATCTTTTGCACTCCCACATTGTTTCGCTACGTTTTTTGAGAAAATTATTAAGTGTTTGTCGCGTGTAGCCCGATCGACGTGTACCACGTCTCTGACACGTGTTGTTTACGTTTGGCCCGATCGACGTACCACATCTCTCACACGATATTGTAGGCGAAGGGGTATTAATATGTGCGCACACAATCACAACTGATGACGAAATTCGAGTTGTCGCGCATACGTATCGGTAGCTCCAACGAGAAAAATCTTATTTTCAGTATTCTCGTCTTATTTATAATAATAATTAGACAACAAAGCATTAAAATATTGGGTGAGTGCAAAAGTTCGTGCGGAGTTTCAATAGATGGAGTTATAAGCGTCGTAAAGTGTTGTCATTAATACTTCCATCTACATATTATATAACGTTGGAAAGGTGACGTCTTCAGCTGTTATTAAAAAAAAAATCATTTGTTTTCATACAAACTGCTTCGAGAAATATCACTTTAAAAATGAGTATCGATAAGGTGCATTTACGGCATGTTATGCTTTACGAGTTTCGGAAGGGAATAAACGTTGCCGCAGCCGTAAAAAACATTCGGGATGTTTATCAGGATGAAGCACCAGCTAAACGAACTGCGGAAAAATGGTTTGCTAAATTTCGGCGCGGAGAATTTAACCTTGAAGACGAGCCACGCTCTGGTCGACCTTCCGACATTGATGACGATGTTTTGCGTACTTTAGTGCTCAATAATCCGCGAATTTCAATAAAAGAAGTTGCTACAGCACTAAACGTTGACCGATCAACCGCTTTTCGGCGTTTAAAAAAGATGGGATTCGATTTGAAGCTCGATATATGGGTGCCCCATTTGCTGACCGAGAAGAACAAAATCAAGCGAATTTCTGCAGCCGTTTCTTTACTCGGGCGGCTCAATAACGAGTCGTTTTTGGATCGACTAGTGACGGGCGATGAGAAATGGGTCCTCTACAACAATGTTCAGCGCAAACGGACATGGAAACAATCAGGTGAGCATGGTGACGCGATGCCAAAGGCCAGTTTGCACCCGATGAAGGTGATGCTCTCTGTTTGGTGGGATTGCAAGGGCATAATCTATTTCGAGCTTCTCCCCGCTGGCGAAACGATTGATTCGGACAAGTACTGTCGCCAATTAACCAATCTGAATCGAGAAATAAAAGAGAAACGTCCGATTTTGTCAAATCGCAAGGGAGTCGTCTTTCATCACGACAACGCCAGACCACACGTTTCGAAAAAGACGCTGCGCAAACTGAAGAGCCTGAAATGGGATGTCTTAACGCATCCACCGTATTCTCCTGATCGCACCATCTGACTATCACTTGTTCCGGTCATTGCAAAATTATTTAAATGGAAAAAACTTTGACTCTTTGGAGGCCTTAAAAAACGGCGTCTCTTCGTTCTTCGAATCTAAACCGCGCAGTTTTTATGATCGAGGCATCCGTATGCTGCCAGAACGTTGGGAAAAGATTATAGAAAACGATGGAGAATATATCATTGATTGAATAAAGATTTTTGTTTGCCTAATCACTGTGTGACTTTTATTCACAAACTCCGCACGAACTTTTGCACTCACCCAATATTTTTGCAATGTTTCCAACCAGAGTACGTCCTGAGAACGAGCTGAGGATGTTTCTTCCTTTTTAGGACGTCTCTGCGACGTCTTCAGATCTTGTATTATCTGGGATGGAAGATTGCATTTCCATTTCCGAGCAATGTTTCTGCGATATTGCAGTGCAAAATTGCAATTTCATTTCCGAGCAGTCTCTGCAACATTGCTCAGAAATTTGCAATCTTACAAGATTACTGCAATGTAACTGCAATCTTCTGTGCTGTATGGGGAGTGTCAAAGTTGTTGTGACGCCGTTTTCGGAGAATAACTAAAGGTCATGGTAACGTTAAAGAGTGGAATTTTATCCCATGCGAATTTTGCCTCGTTCTTATTAAATTTAAATGTTAGATTATCCGCTGCGGACAATAATCCCGTACGGCACAAAGATTTGCAGCAACATTGCAATATTGTACATTGCAGAACAATATTGCAGCAACATTGTATAAATATTAGTGTGCAGTACTGTTTAACCAATATTGCAGCAACATTGTAACAATATTGGCAAATAATATCCTATTTTTAATTGTGTGAATGTTATTTCAAATAAATTTACAAAAATTATGAATACGTGGTTATTGTTACAATAATTATTTTTACAATAATTAATACTTACAATAATTACAATAATTACAATAATTACAATAATTAATACTTCTATAAATTTCAATTTTATACGTATAGTCCATTTTCTCACTTTTATTGATATAGTGCATTTAAAAATGACACTTAAAAACTACTTGATTAACTGGCAATTTACATTTTTTTTATATCTGTTCGAATTTTAAGGAAACAACGTATATGCCAACGATACCAACCAAAGATAATTATTTCTTTTTTACTTATAGTAGCTATAATAGATAAATCTTTTTTTTTATATAAAATGTTTATATATTAATTATAAAAAATAATTATTTTTTGTTTACTTAAAAGCAGGACGAAAGTAACGGGACGCCGGCAACGATACATCATGCGTCTCCAGACGTGTCAAATCGTTTATTATACAGGAGACTTTGATACGGCAACATGTATTCGAAGATTTAATATTTAATACGTACTTTTATTTTTTCTGCTCCTTCCCTCTCTCCCCCCCCTATTCCCACTCTTTTTAGACCTCCGGGCATAGTCTGGCATAGAGATGACAACTGTGGTTGCAGCACGGACATAAACCGCCTGAAAGTGAATGTAGCACGGACTTCCACCACATGCAGATTTTATCACCGAGACCTGAAAGTGGATGTAGCATCGTAGTTCCCCTCTCAAAATGGATGCAGATGGCGTCCTTTCCCAGTGCGGAAAGTCGGTGTCGCAGAAGATGCCGTGTGGCCGCTCTCAGTGGTGCGATTCTTTAACTCGTTATTGGAGTTAACGACATTGGAGTTATCGTTGCGCAGCTTTTGTATACCGTAGAAAAGTTGCGCAACGATAACGAAATTGTCGTTAATTCCAATAACAAGTTAAAGAATCGCATCACTGGTACAACCGTGCACATAAACTAACGACGCCAGTGTCCACGGTTCTTTACTGATTTCTCCCACCGCGCACGCACACATAGCCGGCTCGATCTATCCGTGTCACACGAGTAGATCGAGCCGGCTATGTGTGCGTGCGTGGTGGGGGAAATCAGTAAAGAACCGTGGACACTGGCGTCGTTAGTTCATGTATACAATTGTACAGAGAGCGCTTCGCACTTGGCTTGGCTAAAAGCGGCCCATATGATACCTCTCCTTCTTCTCTCTGGTAATAACCGGCACCATCGAAGTTCGAAATTGTCTTCAGCATTCTCTTAATTGTTCTCAATAATTATACGTCATATTTGAGTGAACAAAGATAAACCTATTGATTTTACACGGGGAAACCTCGATTACCTTATCAATATTGATCTTTTTCCTGGCAAGAGTTTTTAGACATTTCAGAGATTTGTTGTTTACAAGAGTGAGGAACATCAGACGGCAAATAATAGATTCTCTGCGTATTCCACTTGAAATATTTTTAATATAGCCATTATAAATGTTACAATGAAAAGTATCCTAGATCGCCTCGTGACAGAAAAAGTAACAAAGTTCTCTGTAACGATGACACAACATGACACTGCAAATAATAAATACATAATAAGGTTTCGTTGTATAACCAACTTGCGTACTATAGGCATAAATACAAAATAAAACTATGTATTTAAACAAAGTTAGTGTACAAAATATAGATCTATTCAACGAGATTTCATAATACATACATTATTATTATTTTGTAATATATGTGAACGCGCTCACTCATTCACTCGCTCACTCGCTCACTTACTCATTCACTCGCTCACTCATTCACTCATTCATTTGTAGACCAACATTTTATCGAACACTCAATCGTATCAGTATCAAAAACTTGACAGCATCTTATAAAAAATTAGATATATTTCTTTCATTGCATAACTGAAACTATAAATTTTTTTCAATAATTATCACAAGAGCACAAACAGGCAATAGCCATCAATGAATAACGTTTCATAATATATAAGTATTATCCGTTCGCGTTTAACCGGTGCGTCCGTATCGTCGACGAACGTGCTTTCACAAAATAAAAGCAGATCAAAGAGATCAATTTTCATGGATCAAAACTCTGATTAAACATTCGATTATTCCTCGTAACCGTTATCAATCGCATTAATCCAACATATAATATGTGTTATCGCGGTACCATTATCGTAAAGAACATTCGTAACCAACAAGTGTGAAATCTCAAGTTTTCAATTTGAATAAATCATTGTAAGAATCGACTGACGACGGTATTAAATGCACGAGCATCGCGCCGTATTAATTTGTGACCTTGAAAAATCGTTAAGTTTTACATTCGGTCGATATATCGACGGGTTATTTAGCGAAGCTTTTTTGAATGACATTATTTCTTTTTCTTTTTTTTTTTTAACAATCTTCAGAGCGGAACGCTAGTAATAATAAGTGCCCTCAATCACCGTCATCCCGTTTCCTCCCAGCGGGTCGTAAACTGATCCTTACATGCTGCGAACAATACAGCTGCGTCATATTGTCTTATATATCACGTACGTGTGAAACTTATCGTAAGAGCACACAGTAAATGCGCACACGCACACACATGCGCGCGCATGGTGCACAGGATCGTTATTTTCCTATCGGATACGTCCATAGAATCAAATAAATACACACCGTGTGTATGTGTGTGTGTGTGTATGTGCGTGAAACGTACCGATACACTTAATCTGAAAAGGGCGATGGATATAGCGTTACCGATCGGTGAATGAAACATTACGCTCGTGAATTCGGCTCGACGACATTAACGAGCGATCGTAAGATCATCGTTTAAAACAAGGCGAAATCAATGCGTGCGCATTATAAAACAAATCATATCGCGCTCGTGTATCGATACTCAAAACAACCGGCTTAAACCGGCCTATCTCTCTCGGGAGGTGTCCATTTTCTACGGAGCCAATTTTCGCTCTGCATTGCGATCCGGTGTGCATGTTGTACTGTGTATGTGTGCGCGCGCGCGTGTATAACAATGTTACGTCGCTGAAACAACGTAACAGTCGTCAGCGTAACAATGCGGTAAAATTTTCAATGTAGATGCATGCATATCTAGCGAACATTTCGCGGGCGAACGCAAAATCCGCGGGGAGCCGGCTAAACGGCAGCATTTTTTTAGTTTTTTTTCTTTTTAATCTCAGCTATTAGTCATGATTTATCACTGTTTCAAACGATTAAAAAAAAATAGAAAATAGAAAAGATACGCGCGTTATTATGTGCACCTCCGTGCGGCGTAGAACGCGTTTCGCGTTCGTGAAGAACCATTCAAGCATAACTCCGCTCCTGTGTGTTTCTTTTCTTCTTTAACATTTCCGTGCGATTTACTGCGCGTTTCATTGTATCAATGAGATTCACATGACACTCCGAGTGGGTAAAAATTTCGCACGACCACCGCCTTCTACAGCCTACAGCCCGTTCCTACCGACGTCATCGGTCAAGTCTTGAGTTGAGTCCGGGTCTCAGTCTGAGTCTGGACTCTCAGGTGAAGACCTAATCGACGCTTCTTGCGGAGAAACGAGCGGTAGAAATCATTGCATCGCATTGAAACGTTCCTCGGGCGATCCCTGTGCGAGTGCGCGCGACGGAGCACTCCCCCCGCGACAACGAGGAGCGTATCCGATACGCTCTTAAACATTAGTCTTGTGCGTTACAACGAACCGTACACCTCAGTCTGTTTATCGAATAAGTATATTAATCTTCTCTTAGAGAAACTGTTCACTAAAGAAGAGGCGTGGTATAGCCTATCAAAAAGAGTCCCTGTCGAATAATCGGACGATCAAATCAATTGCGAGGGACGATTTTTGTATAATACTCTAAATATTCCCGAGTCCGCAATACGTCGTAATAAATTGACGAACAAACGGCTTCTCTGGATCCCCTCGGTCTGTTAGTCTTCGAAATGAATCGATACCTACAGCATGACATCGCGTACGAAGAGACACGATAAAGTTCACTACGCGACACAAGTCCACGTGGTCGGAGCTGACGTGGCCTCGCAGCAGACTCGTTGATGATTAATGATGATCTTGCCTGAAACGACGCTCCAGTGAGAGAGCTGTTGGTCCATAGTATGTGTGTGTGTGTGTGTATGTGCTCTTTTGTGGTCCTATTCTCAGGCGATACTACAATATGCACAAAAAGGCATCAGCGTCGTCGAGAGATTCCGTTTGCCACGTTGACGTCGACGTAGATGCAGAACGATAGACCTAGCGCGATCGAATATCATAACTTCATCTCCCAGAGGACAATGTGCGCGTCGTTGCTGTTGGGATCCTTGAACGCGTAGGCCGATTTCGGGCTCTTGTCGAGGTTGAACTGCGCGTTCAGTTGCCGCCAATTGATGTAACCGCGCCCGCCCATTAGAGTCAGCACTGTCCGCTTGGGCTGCTCCACCTGCTGCGTCGCCTTGTTGTTCTTCTTGCCATTCGCTTTCACGTTATTCGGGGACGTTGCTTCCAGCTCCGACTGTGTGACGCTGCTATTGTTGGTCGCGGGCAGGTCGTAAGGACCATTTCGACTAGCTGTACTACTGTTGCGTGACAACCTTCCGGTCTTCAGAGAGAGGTTCTCCTCCGAGCCGGAGGACGTGTACAAGGAGCTCGCGTGGGAGTCCACCGACCAATTGGAGAGATCCAGCGATCTGGGCCTGGTGATCTTCATCTTTAACCTACGGTCCAAGGTACTCACTTTATTTGGTATGGCTGCCAATTCCGGGTCGCTTCTCCTCAGCGTCTCGTACACGGGGTCGATGCCCGAGTTGTTCTCGTTCTCATAGTCCTTCACGTACATCAGCTCGCCATAGAGCCCGTAAACGTCGCAGTTCTCGCCAGAGCTCTGCGAGCTGGACATGGAACTCGAGAGAAATCCGCAGCCGGCGCCCAGTCCCCTTGGAAGGGTCTTCGAGCCTCTGTACTCGTACTCCTTGCTGCGTTTTCGCCTCAGCATCACCGGGCTGCTCGCCAATTGTTGCTTCAGCTTCACGAGATTACTGCAGACGGACGAGGAGGAGGAGTCTACGCTCGCCCGATCTCGCAATCTCTGTTCAGCCTCTCTCGCCTTCAGTTCTCGCGCGGTCTCGTCATCATTGGCGCGATCTTTCGCCGAGTACACAGTGTTCTTCGTGTTCTGTATAGCCAGAAGGAACGTGATCGGCCCAAAGTGGGCGTGATACGAAATGTTGACACGACCGCTGATGATGGGCACTCCCTCCAGTCGCGGTAGCGGAATGGTCAAGCTGATGCCCACGTTGGTACCGACCCACAAGAGACCTTTGCAAGCTAAAAGCGCCGTTACAGTGACGGCGGTTTGACTGTTAATGGCGAAGTTGCTATTGCTGTGTGAGTTGGGGGAGTTCGTCTTGGTCACCCTCAACACGTTGGACGCTATATTGATGTCCTGCAAATGCTTGAACGTCTCCGTGTGATAAAGGCAAACCGTGCTCGAGTTCTTCGAAGCAACCCAGAGACCGACTCCGGAGTGGGCCATCAGCTTCACGTTGCCGACGTGCTCGTGCTGCGCGCTGAAGCTCTTCGTAATGTCGCCCGTAGTGGCGTTAAGTACCCATACCTTCTTACCGCAGGCGGCATAGATAGATGTGTTGATCGGCATCAAACACGAGACCGGATCGTTGCCGAGGGATATGACGAAGGGATCTTTGAGGTTCCACGTGCCGTCAACTTGTCGTTTGAACAGAAGTAGCAAGCCTATGCCTAGAGCTACGAAAACATTGTCGCAATGATACTTGACTTCCACGACAGGTCCCGGCACGGGGTAACTGCCGATCTCTTCCTCCCTTTCGGGCTCCGACGCGGCGTAAACGATGATCTTCCGCGAGTCTGTACCCATCCACACAAGATCGTTCGCGAGCGTAGCGATATCGCTGCTGGAAGAGACACCCTTGACAAATTCGATGGTGCTCACTCTGGTCTCGACCAGGTCGAAAGTGGTTATACGTTTTAAGCAAGTAACCGAGGCTGTCGTCGACTGGCCGAAAATCGTCACGTGACTGGATATACCGTCACCTGTGCATATCCACAGGTAGTTTTGACTTCTACCGCGTCGCCTCGTAGGCCGCGGATTTTCTGTCGTGTAATAGCAACCGCAACGTACCTGCAAGCGGAATCGCACCGTAGTAGTGAGAACCGTAAGCGCATAACGTGTGAGGGAAACGACCGAGGGTAACAAGGGTTTTGTCAACTCACTTCTGTCTGATGTTGCGAGTGATACACAGCCTGTGAACTAACGAACAGCGGCATCTTCGTGGATGGTCTTTGCTCTTGTTCAGGTACTTCCCACGAAGGGGAGTTGTTGGGATCCAAGGCTAACTGCGCCAATCTAAGCTCGGTTATCCAGTCCTTCTTTACCAATGGGTTCTCCGTTTGAAACGTATACATCTGACCTTGCTTCGTGACTAATTGCATACAGCAGCTATCCGCCCATACCATATCTTCGTCCTTCTGCTGTATCAACATTTGGATCGACTGAAGAATTTGCTTGGTGGTCTGCAACGTCATCCCCTGTGAATTCGGAAGAAATGGGAGAAATGGACGTGTTACGATTAAAAGTCAAAGTACAACGAAAATATCGTATTTTCTACAAATTCTCGAGTTTCTACAAGTCGTCTTAAAATTGCCGGAGGAACAGACATCGATGCCTTTTCTTTCACCGATGCCGATGTTGCGATATCCTTTGTATTTCTATCGTAAGCTCAAATTTGTCAATTTCTTCTTACCTCATATTTACCCTTCAACTGGACCACCAAATCGCTTATTCTGGACATCACCTCATAGTCGTGCATAAGATCGTTCATCTCTACACAGAGACTATCCGCATCGGCTGCTTGCCCGCATTCGCCGCTTTTGTCCGATTTCAAGCTGCCGCCCTTATTTAGTCCAGCTGTGAGTAATCGGCTCAAAGTCGGAGAAGTGCTGGTATCTTGAATCTGCAATAAATTTGTTGGCAATGTTATGTGTCTTGGAGAAAAAGCCCGATAAATTTTACCGGGAAAGATTACAACGTGTGCAAGTCGCGTTACAGTGTCTACCTTTTTTTTAAGCTTATTCTACACACCTCAATGTCGGATACCGGGTATGTCCATTTCAACGTCAATCGTTCGTTTCCAGAAAAATCCTCCGTGGATCTTGGGGTGACGGAAACGCATACTACCAAATCGTTTAGTAACAACAGTCTTCTTCTCTTGGATTTTGTTATCATGCCGTTTTGATTGAATTCCTGCGTAAAAGAAGACGAAATTGCACGTTACTCTTGTGACTCTCTTGTGATTAACGTAGTCACGTATAATGGCGAATACTTTATTGCGATTATATACTGCAATGTTGTGTGAAAACGACATTACCAATTGCGTAACGTTATCTTCTCGAATGAGATAACGCGATGCCGAGGAGAGGGGACGATGCGATAACTTTCCGGAAACGTGTCGCAGCATCTCTTTGAATGCTTGGAATTGTTCAGCCTCTCGTTTCCTTTCGTTCAACATTTCCGCCAAACTCTCGAGCTGCGTTAACGCTAATTGCAGAGACATTCTGTCATGGTGTCCGTGAGGTGTATGCTTCAATAAATCCTAAGAACAAAATTCGTGTTCTCATTTCGAACGAGCTGCTGACGGCGAAAAGTTCGTCTCTCCTCGCACACCCCGCCGCCAACGATACTCACTTGTAAAAATAGTATAAACTGTGGAAACCTCTGCACTGGTTTCACCATCAGTCCGAAGAAGGACAATCTATCGTGCGCGCTTATCTGCTTCACCTGTAAACAACGGAAAATACGCAACGTCAACGTCGACGATCGAGTCCAGAGAACTCAAACGATATCGAGCAGAATCGCAGCGCAAAACGAAACGGTGTACCTTGAAGAAATCCGCGAGCGCAGTCTTCCTCTTAGATTCTTGCTTGGCCAGATCCATCGCCACGGAAAAGTTGTTTATAAAGCCGCTGTAAATGTCAAGTACGATAGCCTTGCTGAAACTCGCGACGAACACGTCCCCCAGCTTCTCGTCCTTGTCCCAGGAGCGCACGCATTCCGCCAGGGCGATTCTAAACAACGTATGGCATTGCAGAATCTCCGGCAGTCTGTGAAACAACGTCGCTATTTTAGACTGGCTCAATATAGGCGGCGACGACTCCTCCAACGGCTTTTTGTAGTCCTGCAAAATTGAAGCACATTCACATCGCTCGTGTTTATTTCACATCCTTCTGTTCTCTTCTCGTTCTTTTTCCTCCCCCGGCATTTATTAAACGTAATGGAAAAACTGCGCGGTTCTCGCGGCCATACGTACATTCACCAGTCTCTGCAGAGTCGACACGTAACTGTTCTCCGAGTGCACTATCGCCGCCACGATGTGTCTGCGTTTCAACTGCTGAGGAGACAAGTTTGGGGGTGGCGGTGGAAGCGTGGGTGGAGCTTGCCTTCGTTGTTGCATACACTGAAACTGCACCATCGCGCTGTTCTCCTCGTCAACCTGGAACAAACACATCGTGATGTGTATTATCCGGCAGGTATTCGACGGATGTCAGGGGCGAATGACAATTTTCCGGAGCCTGAGCGGCTTCCCAAAAGTGAAAGAGTGACTCTTAAAGTGATACAATTCAAGTACATATATAGTGAACGAAATTATACGAAATATGAATTATATGAATTTTAATGAATGCGTATAAATGCAATTTATAATACTCTATACAAATTAATTTTATCCCCTCCCTACGAGGCTCCCTACGAGCCTGACGCTGCAGCAGCAGCATCATCATCATCAACTTCAGTGCGATAAATCCGTCCTTGACGGATATTTATCATGCTGACGGCTTTACTTTACGCACGATTTGCACGATTAATCGCGAAGGGAGAGACTGCAAAGGAAGAGACGCTCACTTCGCAAAGCTGCGGCATTTGCGGCGTTTTAATGGGACTCAATGGTCCGTCGTTTTTAATAGTCAGAGACACCGTATCCGTGGAATCCACATCGTAATGATGCGCGGAGCCTCTGCGGATGCTGAACCATCTCGAGAGACGTCCGTGATTGCTCGGCGACTCCAGGGGATCCACATTGTTCAGGGACATATGCTGAAAGCGCCACTTGTCGCAGAGTGTTCGCGCCTTGTGCAGTGTGTTCCTTAATTGACAGTTGCTTCTGCGAAAGAACGGCGAGTTTTTATTACGGACATACAGCACATAAATATACACACACGCGCACAAACATCGCTCCGTGAACGATGATGTTATGTAACGCGATCGAGCGAACTTACTTAATACTGATATTACTCTTCTCGCTTTCATCGTCCGACGAGAGATCGTGGTCCGATGCCGAGCACCAGGAGTCCTCGCTTCTAGCAGATTGTGTGGACGTGTTGGACCTGCTCGTCTCCAGGGAGGAGTGGCGATGCGCCTGCGAGTGTCCGCCGGCCGTTTCCATTTTGCCCGGTCCTACGTCATCCCACGATTTGCACCTTGAACGAGGCTCGTCTGAAAGACACACGGCAGAGACTTACGTTTAGCGTCGGCCATTCGGCAGGAAAAGTCAACCGTGCGCTTGTTTCGGCTCCGAGGAATCGAAAACAAACAAACTACTGGCTCGTGTGATGAGCGATCGCGCCGGATCGCGCGGATCTCCCTCTCTCAGGCGCGTTAATGACACGATCACACGATCTCGTGTCGTAATTTCACAGTAATACCACGCGATCACGGATGCGACACGCGTCGCTTTCTGAAATAATAACGACATAAGAGCGACGATCGTTTCACCTCACCGTAGCGACCCGAAGAGCTATCTCGTCACGAGCGTCATGTCGAGATACGATTACACCGCGATTACAAACCGATATTCTCCCGAACGGTGACACAGGGGAGATCGAGGAGAGAACACAACAGCTACGAGCGAGCACCAACGCTCTCGGCCGATGCAACAGTCCTCTCTCTATACAGAAAAGCAAGCGCTCGTCGCGTCATCGCGAGAATCACCGATGAGTATCTGCGCGCTAATGCGTCGTCACCTTCGGCGACGCGCGATGATTTCCGTGATCCAGCCCGCCGGCCGCAGCCAGGACTCGGAAGGCCTGCGTGTGTCGCGTGTGCGCGCACGGACAACACTATACACACGTCGCGAGAGATCTCCGGAGAGCGCTTCGCGGCGCCGCGCGATCGGCGACAAACAGCCGGCACAGATCGGCTCAGTCTGTCGCGCGAAAGCGCGGCTGCTTCCTCACGCGTCGCCCTCGTCGTCGTCGTCGTCGTCGTCGTCGTCGCACATACACACGCCGGTCGTTTTATTGGGCCTTCCGCTGCTGTGTTGTCGCGGCGCGCTCATGTTACACCAGCGCGACGCGTTAACGTCGCGACGATAATCGGGTTAATGCGACGTACAGCGTATCCGTCGCCCGTGTTTCGTTCCCACGTTATCGCCGCGCGAGCTGCGCTATGAGTTTCTATAACGCGCGCGTTACAATCGCCGCCCGGGCGGCGTGCACGCCCCGAAGACGTCGGGAAATATCGTGCGAGATACTCTGCTAGTTTCGGTCCTATTCCTAAACTTGGTTTTCCTGCAACCTGGTCGAGGAAGCGTCATACACGCTCGCCGACAGAATCCATCTTGGTGCCTGGGTAGCAGGAATGCGTGAAATGCGCGCGGAAGACAACGGAGACGTCTCAGACACGTGCGGGCGTTCTCTCTCAGACGCGTCTGAGACATTTTTCGCGAACATTTATGCTGCTGTCTAGCCGAGGAAGCAACGCATCGGCGGCAAACACGAGAAAGACCAGCCGTGCTCAGACAGCGGAAACGTGTTGAAGACGTCCAAGAGACGTTTGAAACAAGTAGGATGCCTTCTGCGCGTCTCTCGGGGGCGTTTTTATTTTAAATATTTTTGCGCTGCCGGGCTGAGAAAGCAGCGCATCGACAGCGAGTAGGAGAAAAACCATCCGTGGTCAGACAGCGGCAACGTGTGAGATACGTCTCTTGAAGACGTCTACAAGACATTTCAAACAAATAGAACGTCTCCCAGACGTCTCCGCGAGACGTCCTTTGGCGACGTCCATGCTTGTATTCCGCTCGAAGCCGGATTGCGCGGCCGTTTTGCCAAGCTTTTGTCTCGTGGGAACAAAGAAATAAATTCGCATGGCGCTGATCATTAATCGGAAAATGCAGCACGTTCGAGATATACCAACGGCAACGACGACGACGACGACGACGACGACGACGACGACGACGACGACGACGACGACGACGACGACGACGACGACGACGACGACGACGACGACGACGACGACGACGACGACGACGACGACGACGACGACGACGACGACGACGACGACGACGGCGGCGGCGGCAACAGCAGCGACGTATAAGGTATCCAAAATGGAATCGTAAAACACGTCAGTTCGACGTCAAGGTCGCTTTATCACGTGATTACGCGAGCGCAGTACGTAGCGGCGGCTCTTTAAATCGAGGATAAAGCCCTGCTGCCGTTTACGTACCCAGCAGGTGGAAAAAGGGCTGGCGCGACGTCACCACCGATGTCTCGCAGTCATCCCATCATCTCGCGCCGAAACGAGGAGAAACTTTCGCGATACACGAAAATGGAAAGACGGGAGAGTTAGCCGAGTCCGCGAGTGCGATGCCACCGCACCGCCGTCAGCACCGCCGCCTACTCATTTTCCACGGCCTACCAACCGGTATTTTCGCGCGCGGACGAAATCTGCACGGATAAACACGAGAGCCCGGATCGTCGACTCACTCACGCACCGTCGCGTCGCGCGTTCGCGCGTGTAAACGCGGCGCGTCAAGTGGCGGCGGCGCGGCGCGTAGAGGCATGCGCGCGTGTTCGCGCATGCGCACCCACACACACCGAAATTCAAGGTGGCTCCGAGCGATTAAGTGAGTGAGATACTGCGCGATGCGTAATAGTCGAGAGCAAGCTTTGTGCACCGGCTCTGTTCTTTCGGCAAGTAGATACTTGCGAGTATATGCGAGAGAGAGAGAGAGAGAGAGAGAGAGAGAGAGAGAGAAGAAAAGAAGAGAGAGAGAAAATAACGTTGTTGCCTCAGATTTATATCGATCTGCTCTCTCTCTCTCTCTCTCTCTCTCTCTTTCTCTTTCTCTCTCTCTCTCTCTCTCTCTGTGTGTCGGCAAGCACAGATTCCGAATGACTCCGTCATCTTTGTTTATCCTTCTCCCTCTCCCTTTCTCTAGCGCGAACATTTTCAAACACTTGCAAGTTGAGTAATTTTTTAATTTTCACGAGTTCACGCTAGAGGGAAGATTTATTTCGATATTGAATACGTGCGATTTAGTATTCAAGTAAAAGTACTAATTTTCTGTCTCATCGGTTTGAGAGGCTGATGTTACGAATAAAGGAAGAAGGTTGAGTGTCCAGATAAATGAAGCTATCAAAACATGTAAACACGTCGAAGATCAAAGACTCAAATATTTCAATTTTTTATTTATTCCCCACGTTGCACGTCCGTCGTAGATTCGTCCCCGACATTTCGTGAACATTCCAGTTCGCTTCCCCAGAAAGAGCAACAGAACCTGATACTCAGTTTTCTCTACAGCGCGGAAACCTCAAACATCACGTCTCAATTTTCTCAATGAACTTCGTTCATTATTATTATCACCACGGGAATATATGGAAAAAATTTCCCAATCAAAAATGCGGACTCGCAGGGGAGCTGCGAACGTGCTACGTTGCGTTTCACTTTTTTTTTTAACATTACGCTGTTACGCTTTCGCGAGAAACTCAATACCCATAGTTGATACGAAGTTGTTGAAGCGTGGCACATTGGACGCAATCGAGCCGATCAAACTCGGCAACGAAGTAACGCACGCTCGATGCTGTCGCACGCGCACGCACAAGCGGATTAACTTTTGAAGATAACGCACGTGGTGTCGCTCCACCGACTTTATTTCTAACAATGGAGGGACGACTTGCATCGTCCCGCTCGTATGAGAGAATGCCTCGCTCATCCATTTTTTTATTTTCCTCTTCCTCTCTGCCAACTCTCTTCGCACAAGTGGGTCCGTATCGGAGCGGAGAACACACGCGTCTTTCCATTATAAATCACCAAACAGGGCAAGACGCAATTTCGAGTGAAAGTTCCTCACGAAAATGGCATCTTATGTAATTGCTATTTGAGAAAACAAAATCCAAGCGCGACGTGTCAATGGCTCTCTCTTCCTCTCACTCTCTCATTCAGGAATGGAGTACAAAACGTGTATTTACGAAATACACGTTAGCGTGTCCGCAGATTGTTGTTTTAACGGCGTGCCGCGTATAGAGCAGACTCGGTCGGTCGCTCTGTCGAATCTGAACGGGTCGGAACGGCAGAAAGAAACATCTCTCACGGCCGTGCGAGGCGAACAATCATCAGCTGACGGAAAAAAGGAGTCACTTCCAGAGACTTATGTCTATATTTATAATCAATTTCCTTTCACTATTCCAGCCAGTTTGTTCATGGTGCTTATGAATATGGAGCAGCGCGCTGCGCGTTACCTTCCTTCGCTGCTCAAGCGGGCGAAAAATCATGGCTTCACGTGACATTTCAATGGGCGCGCGCGCGCGCGAGCGGAGAAAAGTGCACCTACGCGTGACCAGGGGTTTCCTCGGTGCGTTAGACTCTCGTTATTACATAACGTACAGAGACGACGCGCGTATGTGGCACAAAGCGCACAGATGTAAAGATAGACGTAACCCAATTTGCGAAAGCTACAGAATCGCGTTCTCTTCTCTCTCTCTCTCTTTCTCCCCCCCTCTCTCTCGTCTCTTCGGTCATGCGTTGTCGAGGCTCCCCCCTCCCGCCGGTTACACCGTTGCATCGCGCGCGTTACGTAAGTGTAAACTTCACGCTACACAGCTTTTCATTATTACGGTCTAATGCAATGATTACGATATATGTAATAGGAAAATTGAGAGAGCGCGCGAGGCGCACGAACAACGGCAGAGCGCCTTTCTTATTTTCAACGTTGCCAGATTCCAGCAAACGTGTACTCGTCGGTCTCGCATTTAGCAGCGTTCAACAGCAGCAACGCGGCAATTTTCCGTGCCGCGCGACCGCTTACAGGTCAAAGCGTCCATTAAGCACTAACTGATTGTACATTCTAAACTGTATAAAACCTCTCTCTCTCTCTCTCTCTCTCTCTCTCGCTCCCCTTCGTCTTGGTCTCCTAATCGCAATTACGGCAAATAATGTCCGATTATGTCCGTCGCCAACGTTCACCGATTCGATCGCCGTAATTAATGCGATTATCCCGATTCGATGTATCGTTAGATCGAAATGACGGATGAATGAAGCCTTAAACGAATCGCCACTTCGGTGATCACGTCGAAAGCGGGAACGATACCGATCACGCTATGTTACTGAAATATTACGATAAAGAACCAAAGAGGAACGGAAATACATGTGAGATAAATTGAACTTTAGGGGAAATTGGAAAATTGATAGTTGCCGTTATAAAGACGCGGCTGTTCGCG